AATGAGATATACTACTCTAAGGTATACATGAATATCAAAAAAAGTAATATGTATATGTATATGCAACATCACCTAACCTTCCTCTGACACCCAAAAGTCAGACTTGTAAGCGTATCCATTTTAATTACTTTAACATCAGTACAAACGGGGATGGATCTTCAAACTTTATTTCGCTTGTTAGCGATTGTGCTGCCATCCTTACTGTAAATCGCACCATGCGCCTTAGGAAATACCGCCAAAGTTTCACTCACCTCACTTAACTCACGGAGTTGCCTCACCAATCTTCTTGTTAACTCAAGACGTTTCCGTTTCACTTGGACCTGATGCTCTGGGTTCTCGAGGTCTTGCACTTTCTCGAGAGACATGACCACGGTTCTTTTCATACGGCTCAAAAGGAATTTGTCCATCAGTAAAATCATTTGAAGAAATAGGACTTTGGTGGGATTCAGAGAGCTTTCTTTTCCTCCTTTCGACAAAAATTTTGCCGATGCTGATGATCATCGTTCTCCTTCACTTGAATCAGAAGCTTTCTCTCATTTGGTTCGCCATGATATCAGATGATTTTTTTCGTTTTAAACGGGCACATCTCCGTTCGACGCTACGATTACCTACAATTTTCTGCACTTTTCATTTTTGGGTCGTATTGGCGCTTTCGATTCCAAGATTTCTGGAAACGTATAGCGTAATTCTATTTGAGTTGTTTTGTCATTCGAACTTGTAGATTTATTCCGGTCTTGAGCAGCAATTATTCTTTTTGCGTCTGCTGGAGAAACAAATAGACCTTTTGCCATCATACATGCCAAGATCCTTATAGCCTATGATCAGCGTCTCATATTAAGAATATAAAGATGAGTGTTCTTTGGTTAGATGTCCTTAGATATCATTGTTTATGTCTAGTTCATCAGAATACCTGTAGTAGTTAAATCCATGACTGGAACACTGCTGTCCGCGTGCAGTTTGCTGACACCTTCACTTTTCAATGTTTCTATCACATCATTCTTTGCTACACAGTCTTTTTAGATTTCTAGATCTGTAGTAATCATCGAGATAGTATCCAGTGAGGCTCTAACAGAATCTTTTTTGACTATTCAGATGACACCAATTTGCTCTTAGAGTTTTTGCCAAAATGAGATATACTACTCTAAGGTATACATGAATATCAAAAAAAGTAATATGCAACATCACCTAACCTTCCTCTGACACCCAAAAGCCAGACTTGTAAGCGTATCCATTTTAATTACTTTAACATCAGTACAAACGGGGATGGATCTTCAAACTTTATTTCGCTTGATAGCGATTGTGCTGCCATCCTTACTGTAAATCGCACCATCCGCCTTAGGAAATGCTGCCAAAGTTTCACCCACCTTACTTACCTCACGGAGTTGCCTCACCAATCTTCTTGTTAACTCAAGACGTCTCCGTTTCACTTGGACCTGATGCTCAGGGTTCTCGAGGTCTTGCACTTTCTCGAGAGATATGACCGCGGTTCTTTTCATAAGGCTCAAAAGGAATTTGTCCATTAGTCATTTGAAGAAATAGTCCTTTGGGACTCAGAGAGTTGTCTTTTCCTCCTTTTTATGCTTTCGACAAAAATTTGCCCATGCTGATACCCATCGTTCTCCTTCACTTGAATCAGAATCCTTCTCTCATTTTGTTCGCTATGATATCAGATGATTTTTTTCTTTTTAAACGATCACATCTCCGGTCGAGGCTACGATTACGAATAATTTTCTGCACGTTTCATTTTTGGGTCGTATTGGCGCTTTCGATTCCAAGATTTCTGGAAACGTATAGTGTAATTTTATTTGAGTTGTTTTGTCATTCGAACTTGTAGTTTTATTCTGGTCTTGAGCAGCAATTATTCTTTCTGCTGTTTGCGTCTGCTGGAGAAACAAATAAACCTTTTGCCATCATACATGCCAAGATCCTTATAGCCTATGATCACAGTCTCATATTAAGAAGAAAAATATGAGCGTTCTTGGGTTAGATGTCCTTAGATATCATTGTATATGTCTAGTTGATCAGAATACCTGCTTTTAGTTAAATCCATGACTGGAATATTGATACCTTGCAGTTTGCTCTCACCTTCACTTTTCACGATATCTATCACATTATTCTTTGCTACACAGTCTTTTTAGATTTATAGATCTGTAGTAATCATCGACATAGTATCTAGTGAGGCTCTGTTAGAATTTTTTTGACTATACAGATGACATCAATTCGCTCTCAGGGTTTTTGCCAAAATGAGATATACTACTCTAAGGTGTACATGACTATCAAAAAAAGGGTTATACAACATTCCTCTGACACCCAAAAGCCAGACTTGTAAGCGTATCCATTTTAATTACTTTATAATCAGTACAAATGGGGATGGATCTTCAAACTTTATTTCGCTTGTTAGCGATTGTGCTGCCATCCTTACCGTAAATCGCAGCATGCGCCTTAGGAAATGCCGCCCAAGTTTCACCCACCTTACTTACCTCACGGAGTTGCCTCACCAATCTTCTTGTTAGCTCATGACGTTCCCGTTTCACTTGGACCTGATGCTCTGAGTTCCCGAGGCGTTGCACTTTCTCGAGAGTCATCATCACGGTTCTTTTCATACGGCTCAAAAGGAATTTGCCCATCAGTAAAACCTTCATTTGAAGAAATAGGCCTTTGGTGGGACTCACAGTGTTCTGTGTTTCTCTTTTTCATGCTTTCGACAAAAATTTTGCACATGCTGCCCATCGTTCTCCTTCACTTGAATCAGAAGCTTTCTCGCATTTTGTTTCGCTATGATATCAGATGATTTTTTTCTTTTTAAACGGGCACATCTCCGTTCGACGCTACGATTACGTACAATTTTCTGCACGTTTCATTTTTGGGTCGTATTGGCGCTTTCGATTCCAAGATTTCTGGAAACGTATAGTGTAATTTTATTCGAGTTGTTTTGTCATTTGAACTTGTAGATTTATTTCGGTCTTGAGCAGCAATTATTCTTTCTGCTTTTTGCATCTACTGGAGGAATAAATAGACCCTTTGCCATCATATATGCCAAGATCCTTATAGCCTATGATCACAGTCTCATTTTAAGAAGAAAAATATGAGTGTTCTTTGGTTAGATGTCCTTAGCTCATTGTTTATGTCTAGTTCATCAGAATACCTGCTTTCAGTTAAGTCCATGACTGGAATATTGATATCTTGCAGTTTGCTCTCACCTTCACTTTTCACGATATCTATCACATTATTCTTTGCTACCCAGTCTTTTTAGATGTCTAGATCTGTAGTAATCATCGAGATAGTATCTAGTGGGGCTCTATTAGAATTTTTTTTGACTATACAGATGACATCAATTCGCTTTCAGAGTTTTTGCCAAAATGAGATATACTACTCTAAGGTGTAAATGACTATCAAAAAAAGTAATATGCAACATCACCTAACTTTCCTCTGACACCCAAAAGCCAGACTTGTAAGCGTATCCATTTTAATTACTTTAACATCAGTACAAACGGGAATGGATCTTCAAACTTTATTTCGCTTGTTAGCGATTGTGCTGCCATCATTACCGTAAATCGCACCATCCGCCTCAGAAAATGCCGCGAAAGTTTCACCTACCTTACTGCTCACGAAGTTGCCTCACCAATCTTCTTGGACCTGATGCTCTGGGTTCTCGGGGTCTTGCACCTTCTCGAGAGACATGGCCACGGTTCTTTTCATACGGCTCAAAAGGAATTTGTCCATCAGTAAAAAAACCTTCATTTGAAGAAATAGGACTTTGGTGGGAGTCAGTGAGTTTTCTTTTCCTCCTTTTCATGCTTTCGACAAAAATTTTGCCGATGCTGATGATCATCGTTCTCCTTCACTTGAGTCAAAAGCTTTCTCTCATTTGGTTCGCCATGATATCAGATGATCTTTTTAATTTTAAACGGGCACATCTCCGTTTGACGCTACGATTACGTACAATTCTCTGCACGTTTCATTATTGGGTCGTATTGACTCTTTCGATTCCAAGATTTCTGGAAACGTATAGCGTAATTTTATTTGAGTTGTTTTGTCATTCGGACTTGTAGATTTATTCTGGTCTTGAGCAGCAATTATTCTTTTTGCTTTTTCCGTCTGCTGGAGAAACAAATAGACATTTTGCCATCATACATGCCAAGATCCTTATAGCCTATGATCACCGTCTCATATTAAGAATAAAAAGATGAGTGTTCTTTGGTTAGATGTCCTTAGACATGATTGTTTATGTCCAGTTCATCAGAATACCTGCTTTTAGTTAAATCCATGACTGGAATATTGATATCTTGCAGTTTGCTCTCACCTTCACTTTTCACGATATCTATCACATTATTCTTTGCTACACAGTCTTTTTAGATTTCTAGATCTGTAGTAACCATCGAGATAGTATCTAGTGAGGCTCTATTAGAATTTTTTTGACTATACAGATGACATCAATTCGCTCTCAGAGTTTTTGCCAAAATGAGATATACTACGCTAAGGTGTACATGGCTATCAAAAAAATAATATGCAGCATCACCTGACTTACTTCTGACACCCAAAAGCCAGACTAGTAAGCGTATCCATTTTAATTACTTTAACATCAGTACAAACGGGAATGGATCGTCAAACTTTATTTCGCTTGTTAGCGATTGTGCTGACATCATTACTGTAAATCGCACCATCCGCCTTAGGAAATGCCGCCAAAGTTTCACCCACCTTACTGCTCACGAAGTTGCCTCACCAATCTTCTTGGACCTGCTGCTCTGGGTTCTCGAGGTCTTGCACTTTCTCGAGAGACATGACCACGGTTCTTTTCATATGGATCAAAAGGGATTTGTCCATCAGTAAAACCTTCATTTGAAGAAATGGGACTTTGGTGGGATTCGGAGAGCTTTCTTTTCCTCCTTTTCATGCTTTCGACAAAAATTTTGCCCATGCTGATGTCCATCGTTTTCCTTCACTTGAATCAGAAGCTTTCTCTCATTTTGTTCGCCATGATATCAGATGATTTTTTCTTTTTAAACGGGCACATCTCCGTTCGACGCTACGATTACGTACAATCCTCTGCACGTTTCATTATTGGGTCGTATTGACTCTTTCGATTCCAAGATTTCTGGAAGCGTATAGCGTAATTTTATTTGAGTTGTCAAACTTGTAGATTTATTCCGGTCTTGAGCAGCAATTATTCTTTCTGCTTTTTGCGTCTGCTAGAGAAACAAATAGACCTTTTGCCATCATACATGCCAAGATCCTTATAGCCTATGATCACCATCTCATATTAAGAATAAAAAGATGAGTGTTCTTTGGTTAGATGTCCTTAGAAATCATTGTTCTTGTCTCGTTCATCAGAATACCTGCTAGTAGTTAAATCCATGACTTGAACACTGCTGTCCGCTTGCAGTTTGCTCTCACCTTCACTTTTCATTGTTTCTATCACATCATTCTCTGCTACACAGTCTTTTTAGATTTCTAAATCTGTAGTAATCATCGAGATAGTATCTAGTGAGGCTCTATCAGAATTTTTGTTGACTATACAGATGACAACAAGTTGCTCTCAGAGTTTTTGCCAAAATGAGATATACTACTCTAAGGTGTACATGACTATCAAAAAAAGTAATATGCAACATCACCTAACCTTCCTCTGACACCCAAAAGCCAGACTTGTAAGCGTATCCATTTTAATTACTTTAACATCAGTACAAACGGGGATGGATCTTCAAACTTTATAAATTTCGCTTGTTAGCGATTGTGCTGCCATCCTTAGCGTAAATCGCACCAGCCGCCTTAGGAAATGCCGCCAAAGTTTCACCCACCTTACTTATCTCACGGAGTTGCCTCACCAACCTTCTTATTAACTCAAGACATTTCCGTTTCACTTGGACCTGATGCTCTGGGTTCTCGAGGTCTTGCACTTTCTCGAGAGATATGACCGCGGTTCTTTTCATAAGGCTCAAAAGGAATTTGTCCATCAGTCATTTGAAGAAATAGTCCTTTGGTGGGATTCAGAGAGTTCTCTTTTCCTCTTTTTCATGCTTTCGACAAAAATTTGCCCATGCTGATGCCCATCGTTCTCCTTCACTTGAATCAGAAGCCTTCTCTCATTTTGTTCGCTATGATATCAGATGATTTTTTTCTTTTTAAACGGGCACATCTCCGTTCGACGCTACGATTACCTACAATTTTCTGCACGTTTCACTTTTGGGTCGTATTGGCGCTTTCGATTCCAAGATTTCTGGAAACGTATAGCGTAATTCTATTTGAGTTGTTTTGTCATTCGAACTTGTAGATTTATTCCGGTCTTGAGCAGCAATTATTCTCTTTGCGTCTGCTGGAGAAACAAATAGACCTTTTGCCATCATACATGCCAAGATCCTTATAGCCTATGATCAGCGTCTCATATTAAGAATATAAGGATGAGTGTTCTTTGGTTAGATGTCCTTAGATATCATTGTTTATGTCTAGTTCATCAGAATACCTGCTATTAGTTAAATCCATGACTGGAATGTTGATATCTTGCAGTTTGCTCTCACCTTCACTTTTCACGATATCTACCACATTATTCTTTGCTACACAGTCTTTTTAGATTTGGGCTCTGTTAGATCTTTTTTTGACTATACAGATGACATCAATTCGCTCTCAGAGTTTTTTCCAAAATGAGATATACTACTCTAAGGTGTAAATGACTATCAAAAAAAGTAACATGCAACATCACCTAACCTTCCTCTGACACCCAAAAGCCAGACTTGTAAGCGTATCCATTTTAATTACTTTAACATCAGTACAAACGGGGATGCATCTTCACACTTTATTTCGCTTGTCAGCGATTGTGCTGCCATCCTTACTGTAAACCGCACCATCCGCACTTACCTCACGGAGTTGCCTCACCAATCTTCTTGTTAACTCAAGACGTTTCCGTTTCACTTGGACCTGATGCTCTGGGTTCTCGAGGTCTTGCACTTTCTCGAGAGACATGGTTCTTTTCAGGAATTTGTCCATCAGTAAAACCGTCATTTGAAGAAATAGGCCTTTGGTGGGACTCAGAGAGTTCTCTTTTCCTCCTTTTCATGCTTTCGTCAAAAATTTTGCCCATGCTGCCCATCGTTCTCCTTCACTTGAATCAGAATCTTTCTCTATTTTGTTCGCTATGATATCAGATGATTTTTTTCTTTTTAAACGGGCACATCTCCGTTCGACGCTACGATTACGTACAATTCTTTGCACGTGCCATTATTGGGTCGCATTGACTCTTTAGATTCCATAATTTCTGGAAACGTATAGCATAATTTCATTTGAGTTGTTTTGTCATTCGAACTTGTAGATTTATTCTGGTCTTGAGCAGCAATTATTCTTCCTGCTTTTTCCATCTACTGGACAAATAAATAGACGTTTTACCAGCATACATGCCAAAATCCTTAGTCTATGATCAGCGTCTCATATACAGAAGAAAAAGATGAGTGTTCTTTGGTTAGATGTCCTTAGATATCATCGTTCTTGTCTCGTTCATCAGAGTACCCGCTATTAGTTAAATCCATGACTGGAACACTGCTGTCTGCTTGCAGTTTGCTCTCACCTTCACTTTTCACTGTTTCTATCACATTATTCTTTGCTACACAGTCTTTTTAGATTTCTAGATCTGTAGTAGCCATCGAGATAGTATCTAGAGAGGCTCTATCATAATCTTCGCTCTCAGAGCTTCTGTCAAAATGAGATATACTGCGCTAAGGTGTACATGACTATCAAAAACGTAATATTATAGCATTCGAGATGATGCCCCAGTATTTAGGCGTCTGTCTATGCGGCTGCTTTTGTGTATTGAAAATAAAAGCTCGCTCAAAGAAAGATTATACTTAAGGTTTTCATATATAGGAACTAAAGTTTAAACCTTTGGCTTCAAGCCTCCGAAAGGTAATTCAGCTCAGTTTAAGTTTACTTCACTGATCTTTCTTATATTTTTCTCACACCGTTCCTTCTTTACTTACGCTTGCTATAAAAGAAGAGGAGATAGAGTTATGTGTCATCACCGCATAGAATAAGAAGTTTAATATCAGCGTGTGTACGTCTAATTTCCCAATTTACAAACTGGATTAATTCTTGTATCTACGTATTCCATCTTCACCGCACCTGCCACCGCAAAACACCAGTGAGAAGCCCCCCCTATTCGCAGTTGACCAACTAAAAGGTAAACCTAGTTGGTTATTTTATAGCATATTTCTTTTCCGGATACCGTATCGAGCAAGTTCATATGATAATCAGTTTTACATCCCCATCGCAATGCACCCCATAGTGGTCTCTAGGTCCCACAAGCCAGATGCTACCAGTTTATTTCAGAACTTTGGTTTCCAATTCTTAGTAACGCACCCTTTAACGTAACCAATGTTTCGTAGACTATCATCTAACACCTTGGTTTGCCAAAGTCTTGACGGTAAAAGATGGACAGTACTATTGTACGATATTCCGGTCACAACGGTGGCCTTTTTCAAGTACAATGACAGTAAACAGTGATTGAAATATATATAGTTCGAATTAGCAGCCAGACAATAATAGAATCCAATCAACATCAAAGCTACATGATATGTTTCAGGTGTTAAATTGACAATAATAGCTTAAATAAGGCGATAACCCCTGTATCTGTTACAGCTAGCCCTACTATCCTATACCATCCATCATTGAAGACCTAGAGGCAGCTTCTGTTTAAATTTGATATTCTCAAAGCCATGGTACATAAAAAATTACCCAGGCTACCCACGAGAGTCATGAAAAATAAGGGCTAGCTCGTCGAAATTCATCCATAATGAAGTGTCAGTCGTTTGTTACAAACTGAATTCTCTATAAGTTCTCTCCCGCAGAAGCTGGCAGCTCCAGCAGTGTCTATACGTCCATGCCCCATCTACATCAGTCCGGACTGCATCAAATATACATATTTCGAAGCCCGTCGGTGCCTGGCGAACACACATAAAAGCGGACACAAATGTAATACCCCGAATCGCATAAACACATAGAGGGGCGTACGGGAATATAAGAGAGGCGATTCCACTGTTAATAAGGAAAGGTTTTCGATGCTACCAAGTACAGTACCAGTACTCAGAGAACTAGGGAGTTAATTTTTGGAATGTGGAAGTAGAACAACTGAGAAAAAGTGGGCGTGGTTATCTTACCTTTCAAGGAACTATGTTCCTGAACACTGATAGAACAGTCGCTGGCAATCATTCTTGGGACAAAACGAATGCTCGTTCATCAGTTTTATTTCTAAAGGCGAGTTTAACTTTGTGATGAGAGAAGGAACAGGTTATTGTCACATTTTTGACCTATGTAAAAACCGTAATCCATTTGGAATCCAGCGAGATCTGAGGCAATTCAAGGGGATCCGAGGGAACCTAATAAGATCCGAGATTCAGAGGCAATTTACGGTGGTCCGAGGTAATCCAAAAAGAAGAAAGGCAATCCAAAGAGATTCAAGACAATTCGACGAGATCCAAGGTTCAGAGGCAACTCGATGCGACTAGAGGTAATACAAGGCTACACAAAGAGGTCCAACCATATAACCTCTTCTTCATAAAAAAAATACGTAGATGACATTATTTTATGCCTCCCCTCCAGAGGTCTTTCTAGACACAAGACTCATCCGCACCAACAACAATCGTTTATTGGTAGACTGGTACCAGAAACCTATGGCTTCAGACCGGTTTCTCAATTTTAGGTCATACCATAAGCTAGGGATTAAAATCACATTGGTGAAACAGATGAAAACAAGGGTAATCAGCATCTCAGATAATACTTTCCACACTTCAAATTTACGTAAACTATCAAAACTGTTCATTAACAATGGTTATCCGAAGTGTCTGATTAACAAGATCTTATTTAGCTCACCTCCCAGTATTTTGCCAAACTCTAATGATACAAGTAATAGTCTCACAACCCCTAATAACAAAACTGATAGAATTCCCAACAACAACACCAATTCAGACAATACAACCACCATCCCAAATTCCAGACCTGGTTTTGCTGTCTTACCCTATATCAAGGAACTGACCCCTAAGCTGATCAGATTATGCAGTCCTTTGAACTGTGGAATTGCTTGCAAATCCGTCCTCACTATAAACTGCATTTTTTCAAAAATGAAAGACAGAGTCCCGCTGCTTGGCTTAACTAACTCAGTCTACTCTATCAATTGCAACAATTGCAACCAAATATACATAGGTCAGACCTCCAGATCTCTTAAAGGAAGGATTACATCACACAAAAGTGATTCTAGGCTTCATCCTGAAAGATGCGCTCTAGCATCTCATGTTAACACAACAGGGCACTCTATGAACTACACAAGTATCAAAGTTCTCGATAAAGAAAAACACCTATCCAAACGTTTATTCCTGGAAATGTCCCACATTTTCATGAATAACAACTATATCAATAAAAAGACAGATGTTAAGCAACTGAGTGTCATTTACTCATATTTGCTAAACTGCGAAAATTTAGAGCACTTACACATCTCCCCAAATTTTGACTCTTCACAACCATAAATGGAATCTGTTTCTTGGTCTATTCCACCAATAAACTTCATTCCATTCAAAATTTTAATAATTTTCTTCTCACGATTTAATAATAATTGTTAATTTGATTGCCCATTAATAAAGTATAGTCAATTCAACTGCCTCTGGTCGGTTTGACAATTTCTTACATAACACATTTTGAAAATCACATCATCTTAAGTGATTTGGCAACGTAGCACACGCCCACAAAATAATTCGTTCCATCTTTCTACACAGACCCTGACAACCTTCGGCCTTCTGTCAAAGGGTTCATCTTACTCATTATTCCAATCATCAAGTGGCTTCACGATGTAATGCTTTCATGTTCTAAAAATTTTTAATCTGTTTTTAACTTGTTCTTGTCACACAGTTGTGTGTATTTTATATAATTTTGACCATTGTACCATTTATCCAGCTTTCACCATGTTACTGGGTGTTTCGCTCATCCTGAACGTAAACAACAATTAGCAACATCCTCACATACTACTGTAAGTTAAGTTAATTTAAATTCATGTTACACTATTGTTGCTACTGTTATCAACGTAATTGCAGCTCCTGATGATGATGGCAGAGTCCATTGAAAGCTAGAGAGAAGAAAAAAAGTAGAAAGAGTCCTCTTTGCGTAAAATTTTTGTCGAAGTACCCAACAAAAGGCGGAACCTATATATATATATATGATTCGATGTAGTTCAAAGAGATCCGAGGCACATCAAGGAGATTGGAGGCAATCCAGAAAGATCTGAGGTTCATAGGCGATTCAAACGGTAATTCAAATAGATCCGAGGCAGTCCACTGAAATTCGAGGCAATCCAAGGAGATCCGATGTAAATCTACTAGATCCGAGGTAATCCGAGAGAATCCAAGATGATACGAGGAAGTCCATGGATATATAAGGCAATCCAATGAGATCCAAGGTTTCGAGGCAATTCAATGTGATCCGAGGTAATCGAATGAGATCCAAGGCAATCCGACGAGATTCAAGGTTCAGAGGCAATTCGAGGTGATCCAACTTAATCCAAGGTGACCCGAGGTAGACCATGGAGATCCAAGGCAATCCAGGGAGATTTGAGAAGACAATCCATGGAGAAGCGAGGCAATCCTAGGAGATTGGAGGCAATCCAAAGAGATCCACGGTTCAAAAAGCACTTCAGTGTGATCCCTGGTAATACAAGGAGGAAAAAGGCAATCCTTGGAGATCCGATACAATCCAAGGAAATCCGACGGAATCCGACTTGATCCAGTTCAGTGTCAATTCAAGGTGATCCGAGACAAACCAAGGAGATCCGAAGCAATCCAAGGAGATTAGCGGTGACTAGATATGATTCGATGTAATTCAAAGAGATCCGAGGCACATCAAGGAGATTGGAGGCTATCCAGAAAGATCTGAGGTTCATAGGCGATTCAAACGGTAATTCAAATAGATCCGAAGCAGTTTACCGAAATTCGAGGCAATCCAAGGAGATCCGATGTAATCCGACTAGATCCGAGGTTCAGAGGCAGAGCAAGATAATCCGAGAGAATCCAAGATGATCCAAGGAAATCCATGGGTATATGAGGCAATCCAATGAGATCCAAGGTTCCGATGCAATTCAAGGTGATCGGAGGTAATCCAATGATATCTGAGGCAATCAGACGAGATTCAAGGTTCAGAGGCAATTCGAGGTGATCCAACTTAATCCAAGGTGACCCGAGGTACACCATGGAGATCCAAGGCAATCCAGTGAGATTTGAGAAGACAATCCATGGAGATGCGAGGCAATCCTAGGAGATTCGAGGCAATCCGAAGAGATCCATGGTTCAAAAAGCACTTCAATGTGATCCTTGGTAATACAAGGAGGAAAAAGGCAATCCATGGGGATCCGATACAATCCAAGGAAATCCGACGCAATCCGACTATATCCAGTTCAGTATCTATTCAAGGTGGTCCGTGGAAATCCAAGGAGATTGGAAGCAATCCAAGGAGATTAAAGATGGATAGATATGATTCGAGGTAATTCAAAGAGATCCGAGGCACGTCAAGGAGATTCGAGGCAATCCAGAAAGATCTGAGGTTCATAGGCGATTCAAACGGTAATTCAAA